AGTTATTTATATTTATGTATTTTATGTATTTGTATATACTATATATTATTGTATATTACATTATACATATTTTGGATAATTTTATATATTTTTATATATAAAAGAAATATATATATTAATATATATAAAAGAAATATATATATTATATATATACACACATATAGAAGCATATATTTGTGTGTATATTCAGTTATTTATATTTATGCATTTTATGTATTTGTATATACTATATATTATTGTATATTATATTATACGTATTTTGTATAATTTTATATGTTTTTATATATAAAAGAAATATATGTAGTTTATAGGAAATATATATTTTATATATGTATAAAATATAGTGTATGTATATAGAAAATTTACTAGGTTAAATTATATATAGTGTGTGTATATAGAAAATATACTAGACTAAATAGTGTCTAGTGTGTGTATATAGAAAATTTACTATACTATATTATACTGTATTATATATAATGCATAATTTTATGTACATTATGTATTATTATATAGTATATTTTGCATAGTACATGTTATACTCTATTATATAGCCAATATGCTATAATAATTATTTATAGTGATTTATATGAATTTTAGATTACACCCCCATTTGTTCCATGGCAGTTGGTATCTATTAGCACGTTTCACAATTACAGTCTTTAAGGTTTAAATAGCTTTAATTAAAAGAAGCTGCCTTCCTGTTTTTAAGCAAATTGCTTAGTGTGTTTTCCAAGTTGTTGATGTTTGGTGGTTGGCAGAAAATGAATAATTTGGTAAGGGGAATGTCCTGAGGATTGCAGGCTGGTGGAAATGCTTCCGTTCTGCCTCTTGGAAGAGCTTTGTGAAAGCTGCTGCACTGTGTGGAATATTCATGGCCACCATATTAGAGTGCATTTCGTGCACAAGCAGCTGATTACTCAGCAGTGCTGTGCTTTCAGCTTCTCTCCCAGGTCACAGACCATGTGTGAGATAAAAACAAGCTCTCTGTCCTTCCTGTCTTCTGATATCCAGCTTGAACTGAAAGAAATGCAATATCCTAAGCCTGTGCCTTCAAATGGGTTCAGTGTTCCAAATTTTGAGGACTGATTGCTACTTACATTGAACATATATGGTTGCTAGAACTTACATATTAAAATTTATAACACTTCTGTTTTAAACAGTTAAAATAGTTCAGCCTGTTTGTGATGTTCAGTGTTTTTTCTGGTCCGTATTTGGTTCTGGGTGCTCACAGGTGTTTCAGGCCAGTGGAGATGCAGATCTGCTTCCTGCTGACCTAATGTTCTGCATTTCATTTTTTGCAGCCACGGCCTGTGCTTGTCTTCCAGCAGTGATGAGGAATTTGAGATGTGTAAGTCATAGCACATGTCAGTTGGTTTTCTGGAGTATGAGAAGGACACATTTCTAGTTATAGTGGAGTGTTTTTACATGTTATTTTCTTCCACTGCTTGTGCTGCAAAGTACATTCTGTCCTTGCAGTGCAGTCTTGGTTGCTATATGCCACAGGGAGTGTTTTTTAATTTGCCTCAATTTTGGATGCTTTTTGCCTTGCATTACATTTCTGTTGTTGCCTCAGTTTTATCTGTTCCCTGTCACTCACTTGCTTTCTCCTTAGTCTACAAAGCATCTTTGAATAAACCTTTTCTCTGAGTAGTTACTGTTCTAAACCACTCACAGTTCCCTCTTACCTGACACAGCTTTTATTGCTTTAGTCTTAACCAGTCAGAGGGATGTTTTTGAGTTGTCACAGTGGCTCAAGGTCTTGGTGAGATAGAATTGAATACTAAATTGTACATGGTGGCTTCTGTGGTGCATAACCAACCAATCTTTATGTTCAACCTGTGCAAACAAATGGTAACAGCCACTGTAACTATCACTGTGTGCTGGAGTAGTTAAGTGCACACTGGTTGGGTTTTTTCCTGTTGCAAGAGTTCTGTTTAGCTCATTCATTAGCTGGACTAATCATGGCTCTGCCACATCTCAGTTTCAAACTGGTAGGTAATTTATAGGTTTGTAAATCTTGCAATATGTTCTTCCTTATATATTTAACAGAGATGGTAGAATTGCTAAGGCAGTAAGTTGTACCTGTTTATTTTACCCTTTGCATATCACTCTTGTGCTGGTCCAGCTGCATTTAAAGCAGGTTTCTCATTGCTTTGGAGTTCCTGCTGTGCTCCAGCTCAGTGCCACGTGAATGATCTTAAGCATTGTCAAGCCTTACTACCAGCTGAAGCAAAATGTGCTGTATGTAGATCCTGCACTACCTCTGCACTTCTAAGTCTGATAAATATTTCCATACTGCCCATTCATTAGGTCATTTTTCACTTTTGTGTAATTTTTATATTTGACAGTCTACTCCTTCCCCTGGCTCCTTTCAGGGAGGCTGCTGAGTGCTGTGCCACCTCTGGCGTGGAAGGGGGCTGAGAGGACTACTTGGGGCTTGGAGCAGAATGTTTGCAAAGCCATTCTACTGCCATCCTGTCACTGCAGTGCCAGTTGTAGGAAAGACTGAAGTGAAAATATGTGCCAAGAGAAAAGTTTGTGTTTTTTAAAGACTTTAAGTTTTACTGGTTGCAAACTTAAAAATGCCTAAGAAAAGAAACAGAACCTCGTTCCTAATTAATCTCCTCTTGGTTTAGTTTTAGCCAGAATGAAAACTCCCAAAAGTGTTCCTAAAAAGGCAGATGCAAGGTGGGTGCTGTAATTAATTGCTTTTCTGTGTCCATATAATACTTTTCTGTATCATATTTACTAATCAAAATACAAGAAAAACAATCAAAAGTTCTAGTGATTCGTGGGCAGATACCTGTATAGGAGTGGGTGCAGACAGAACTGTTATGTGTCCAGTCTGTATGTTCAGGACAAAGATAAAAATGGGATGTTTGGAGGTGTAAATGCTCCTTTGCCATTCCTATTTATGGATGTAGTTGGTAACATTTGTTGTGAACAATAATAATGTTATATTTGGAGGCTTTTTTTGGGTTGCTTTTTTAGTAGGGCAGATTTACTCTTGCATTTTCTTCCTTTATCCTACCTTTTTTCACATTTGCCTTTTTTTTTTTTTTTTTTTTTTTACAGTTTGAAAGACTTCATTGATGACTCAGATGATTTCTTCTTGGACCTTAAAGCGAGAAAGAGCACAAAAAAGAATGGCAAGTAATTGTGCAACAGCAAATATGAAGTGGGAATTTTAATGAGTGGAAAGGTAGCATAAATCTCTGAGAGAGCTGACCCCTGATCAGGAGGGGCAGGATTTCTTTAAGCTAGTGTGAATGTGGACCCTGAAAAGTGTGTGCCAGCTGCAGACTGGGAAAAGCTGTAGAATGCCAATGGAATGTTGTGTGGAGGGGAAATGGGTGAAGCAAAATGGACCAGAAGGATCACTAAAAATAAAAAGTCACCTGTAGATCTGATGTGATCCCTTGATCTTGACAGGACAAATCTGGGATGTCAGAAGCATTGTTTGTTGGCAAGCTACTTTATTTTAATACATCTTTCAGTGACTTTTCATGTAGTAAAATGGTAAATGAGCAGGGCAGAGTTAAAGCAAATGCAAAGATACCTCTCTATTTGTATTTTCCTATCTTTCAAGGGATTTTTTTTTGTGTGTTAAGACGAAGGGAGGTCTCCTAAATGCAACTGCCAAAACCTTAAACTCTTTCTTTTGGATTGCAGCACCAAAGGATCTTCAGACCCCAAGGAAGTTGATGAGTTCTGGAAAGAAAAGCACTTGCTGCCAAGAATTGCATTATGGAGAGAGTTCAAGTGACACTGAGGATTCTGTCTTTGTAGAAAGCCCTTGGCTTGACCACCAAAAAGGGGGAGTAAAAGACTGGAAAGAAAGACAGAGGTGCACAAAACTGTCACCTCCACAAAATCTGAAAGAGTCACTTTCCAAAGGCAGTCCAGATTTGCCTGTTAGAAGGAAAGAAAGAAACTGTGAGAAGAGTACAGAAAATAAATTGCCCACTGTGGCAGTAGAGTCAGACAGCTCAGATGACAGCTTTGAATCGTTAATGGAACGGATAAAGAAGCGAGGTCTGCCCCAAAAACCAGTCTTAGGCACAAGTAAAACCGTCTATCAGCCCAGCTCAGCAGGTGAGCAGTTGTTCAGGGCTAACTTGCAGTGGTAGTGCTGATTGCCTGACTCTTCCCATTTGTGTGGCACAGACTTCTGAGGGGCAGCCCAGCACCTTGCAACTGGATTTGGTACAACTGGAAATTACTCCTCTGAGCATTCTGAAAAGTCACCCTGTGGTATCAAGGTTTAAGGTTTTCACTATTGTTTGTTCTTGTAGGCATTTTTAGTTTTAAATTTATTTTTTAAAATTATAATTAATTTTTAAAAAAATTATTATCTAACGGGTGGTATTGAATTTTTCTGATTTTTTTAATGTATGATACTTAATGTGAAGCTGTCATTTCAGCTTTAGGACTGAAATTTTCAGCAGTTCAGAATGCTGCTCGTTTAGTATCTGGATTTATACTTGACTCACCTTTTTTTTAAAAATACAGTTTATAACGAGAATTTCCTAAATCAGTACCTCCTCCTCTCCTTTGACAAACTGAAATGAGCCTCAACTGAAAGACTGAAAAGGGAGAAAAGGGACTGTTGCTGAGATGAGAGCAGATGAAAGCAAATGTTTTTCTAGAAAAGTAAACACAGGGTGCCTTTCTTCCTAACAATGACTGCCCAGAGCAAGGAGACATCTGGAAGAGGATGATGTACAGCACAGAAATATGCCTTGGGAAAGAGCAAATTTTTTTTTAATTGGAATATATCAATTATGTTCTATAACATTATAACTCAGGAATTATGTTCTATAACACATAACTTAGGAATGCCTGAGTGAGGTCACAAATACTTTTCCTTCCACTTCCTCCTTGCTGAATGTTTGAAAGTTTGGAGTCTGCCACTCCTTCACTGAATGGTAATATTTGTAGTATGTAACAGCAAATTACCTTTCCATCAGTTGTAAAAGCCTTTGCCTTCAAGTGTGCACAGCAGGAGTTTATTCTGAGGTGGAATATTTGGCTTTTTCAGTGTTGTCAGTGGGTTTCTGGTGTCTGTGCTCCTGATTCTTGGACAATGTGTAATCCTGTGACTCTTTCTGTTGAACTAGAAAACATCAAGCCACCCTGCAAAGATGCACAGCCCTTGAAAGGGGAGGGAGTCAAGGTACCAAGGCCAAGCTCCACTTCAGTTGCAGAAATATCTTCCAAGACAAGGACTCCTGCAAGAATTCCTGGGAACGAATTGCTCAGTTGCTCACAATCAGCAAAGACAGATAGAAGGTGAGTGTTTCTCCATTTTTACTGTGTTCTAGGGCATTTATAGATGGACATCCTTTGCCTAGGATGATGTAGTGACTCCTCTGGTACATAGAAACTTCTGCTACTAATCCAGCAACTGTGAATGATTAAGTAGCTGGAAATCAAAGTTTTCAGTCTCCAGTATGACAGGGAGAATATAGCTGATCTCTGCCTAGAGGAATTGATGGCAAATATATCTGACAAATCTCAAACCTTCTTTGTAAATGTTTTCTTGCTATTCCTTGTCTTGGTACAGCACACCTCTAATGTGTTGGCCCCACAGATTGTATATATCCAGCTGCTTGCCTCTGAAAATATATCCAAACTAATTCTATTAACAAGATTGTCTTGATTTTTTTTTTTTAACCTCTCTAACTTGCAGAATTCCTGTTTCTTTTTCTGTATGTGGATGCAGCTTAAACTTTTCAGAAGAATGCATTTCTCATTTCTACCAGCTGCCTTTATTCTGCCTTCTAGCCATGTGCTGTTTCCTTTGGTCATTTTATAACTGCGTTTACCAACACAAAACCTTCTTTACAAAAGCTTCATGGCTTTTCTTGCAGGCTCAGGGTATGCTCAGTGCCTGGTTGTTTCTTGCAAGATCTTTCAAATCCCACTTCCCACTACGTGAAGTATTTCAAGAAGAATAAAGAGGAGCTGGCACAGAAGCTCTACAAACTGTTTAACAGCACCATCTTTGATCAGAAGGTTGGTTTCAAAATGAAAATTACTATTCTAAAATGCTGGTTAATATGTTGCTCCTCACTTCTTGATGTGATTGCTCTTTATCCTCTTCAGTGCTAAACATTATAGTGATGTCTTATGTTTGATTTAGCTCAGGCAATTTCTCTGGCAGGGGTTTGTCACCACAGTGATGCAGCAGTTTTCAGCGTGGCTTTGCTTTCCCAGCTGTAATGGATGGAGCACCATCCTTGAGTCAGCAGTCTGGGTGGTATCCAAGAGTCTCTGATGGGAGAAGCTGCTGTATGAGGGCCCTTGGATCAGTTCCATCATGATCCTTCTGTTTCCATGGCCATGTCTGCCTTTCTGGAACAGATTAAAAAGGTGCTTATCCTTTGAATAACAGTTTTGCATGAGCATAAAGCTTCAAGTTGTGTTTCAAATTTAAGGTTAAATTGCAGAGAACTGCTCTCTTGGCCTTCATGTCTGTTGGGATATTGGGGATCCTCCTCTGGTGAGAAATATCCTTGAAAGGAAGGATGCTGTCCTCAGTAATTCCAGTAGAATTTCCTTCAGGAAGGAAAACGTTTCTCTGCAGATGAGAAAATACTGTTGAGCTGACCAAGGGCAGGCTGAGGTAATGATTTCACATCAAGCTGAGCTGAGCAGGCTTACTGTTGCTGAAAGCAAAATATCTGACAGCCCTGTGCCTGTGCCTGTGCTGTCGAAGCCTTTACTTAAGCTCATTAATTTAGATGACAGAAAACTGTTAGTAAAAGAACTGAACTAACTAAGATAGATATGATGAGGGCTTGCAAAATCAGGGGCAGCACAGAAGATAAGCAAGGGGGGATTATTCACCCTCTCACAGTGTGAAGGTGCATCAAATTATTTGCAAGTTGCAGGTTCAGCACAACCAAAGCACGTGGTACTTAACCTGTGAATTATTCAGTTGTAGAACTTCTGATCACAGACTACTGTAGATGCTAAAAATACTTCTGTATTCTTAAACATACACACTCCTTCTCCTCAAAACACCAGAAAACCACTCTAATGGATATTTAATAGAAAAGAACCACCTGTGGCTTAGTGGTTAGCAGTTGGAAAGAGGTTCTTTTTTTTTGAAGAGGAAATTGTGGTTTATGCCTGTCCTGTCCTTGTATTTCTTCTTAAGCAGCTTGTTTTAGCCACTGTTGGAGGCAGAATAGAGGAACTAAGGGACTTCTGGTCTCATCCTGCATTGTGGAACTCCCAGTGTTGGTTACAGAGACACTGACTGTGAGAATAAGCAGCCATGAGGGGTGAGTTTGCATGTTAAGTGACAACAGCGTTAGGAGCACTGAGACATCCTGTGCCAGCTTTGCAGCAAATACAAGGGGAAGCCAGAGGGCCAGAAGATAAGAGAGGTAGAGAGGGCAGATTACATGTCCTGTTTTGTTTTTCAGTTACCAGAGACAATGGAGATAATCTGGAATAAGAAGATGAGAAAAACAGCAGGATATTGTGTGACAGGGCAGACAGGTCCTGAACAGAAGCGTTACGCTCGCATAGAACTCTCTGAGAAAGTCTGTGACTCTGCAGGTGGGTAAAAGAACAATTATGCTGACTCTCCTTTAAGAAAGCAAGTTCTAGAGATAAAAACACTAACCTGAGGCCTAAGAGACCTGGAACTGGACCCTGCTTTGAAATTTCATATTACCTTGAATAAATAAATCCATTAATTGATGGATTTATCCACATTCCACAGCCCTTCTAAGAGGCTGGGCAAATGTACAAAATGTGAGAACAGAGATGTATTCACACTAACTGCAGTATTTTGTTTATATTTCTTATTGATTTGAAGACCCATAGGCATCATGTTACTCTAATTCTGTCTGTGCTGTAATGGCAGTCTAAAATCAGACTTCTTCCATCACAGCCAGCCACCTTGTTGGTAGTATTTAAAGCTGGAGTAAAGACAGATCAGGGCCAAATTAACATCTGTAACTGTTTTTTCTCCGTCATCCCTTCTTAGTTTGGGGGAACAAATCATAAAATGGTTTTAATTGAAAGGGATTGATAAAGGTGTTAAACGGGACTGGCCCCAGGACAGCCCTGGGGAACACCACTGGTGACCTGCCCCAGGTGGATGTAATTCCATTCTCCACCACTCTCTGGGCCCGGCCATCCAACCAGCTTTTTACCCAGTGAAGAAGGAAAACACCTGTCCAAGCCATGTGCTGCCAGTTTCTCCAGGAAAATGCTGTGGGAAACAGTGTCAAAGACTTAACCAACCAATGAAAAAAACCCCCAAACAGACCAGGTGTGCGGGGAAGTGCAGGATGCTGAGTTGGAGCTAATCACAAAACTGGAAATGCACTAAGTAAAACCTTGCTTTGGAGCATTTTACCAAGACGGGGGTAGTTCTAACCTCCAAAATAACCTTTGCATCTTAGTAAGTCTGTACTTCCCCACACCTGACTGACCTCAATCTTCTGTTTGCTTTCCCTGCAGATCGCCTTCGGGACACGCTGATCCACGAGGTTTGCCACGCAGCCACCTGGCTCATCAGCGGTGTTCGTGACGGACACGGGCGGTTCTGGAGGTTCTATGCCAACAAATCAGCTGTAATTCATCCAGAGCTGCCAGTAGTAACACGGTGCCACAGCTACGAGATCAACTACAAATTCACCTACGAGTGTGCTCAGTGCAAAGCTAAGTGAGTAATGTTTTGATGTGCATGTGACCGTGTATTCACTTTCTCTCTAACTTGCCAGTCTCCTGGGTCTAGAAATCATGGGTCTCTTAAATTGTGAAGCAGTTGGGATACTCTGAGTTACTGCATGTTTCCAGAGCCCACAGAGCCTCACTGTGTGATTCCCACGTTTGTTTCCAGGTAGTTCCAGTTCTAGTTCAGAGGTCAGGACAGGCAGAAGTGTCTTGTGAGTACCATTGGTGATGATGGAGGGTCTTTGGGATGTATGTCCCTCAGCTTTAAAGGAACAAGTCCCCATAAACACTGGGCACAGAATGTGTGACAACAATTAGATCCTAGGACAAAGTATCAGAGGAAGCTTTCTAGGGTTTGTATCTTGATGATTTTGAATTAAGACTAAAAAAAGCAGCTGACAAGGATGTTATTATTATTATTATTATTATTATTATTATTATTATTATTATTATGGTCATCCCACTCCATTCCCCGAAATTTAGGGGCTAAATGCATGCTTAGAAAGCATATGTGGCATTTTTTTTTACCTCTCAGGATCATATGACTCCCAGAAGGAAATAACATTTCACATATGGAATCTTCTTGAGGTGTTTGTTAGGACTGTACAATGCATCAGTTGCTTAGATGCAACAGAGCATGGAGGTGGTTTTTTGGTGATGCTTCTGAGGAGAAACTCCAAGGGGCAGTTGATATGTGGGTTGTGGAGGTATTTGCAGATGTTGTAGCACTTCATACTCCTGGGCTGAGAGTAAAAGAGAGGAAGGGACCAAGCTCAAAAGGCGGTGGAGCAAGTTCTAGGATAGAGATGTGCAACACAGATTTGATTGTTCTGCTGTGTGAAGTGGGTACTGTTTGCTCTTCTCAAATACTGGCTTAGAAACCTGACCCGAGTATCCGGGCAGAAGAGAAAGGGGCCCTTTCCCACAATTCCTTACTCTTCCCTTCCAGGATCGGCCGGCACTCCAAGTCCCTGGACACGGAGCGGTTCGTGTGCGCGTTCTGCGGGGGGCGGCTGTGCCTCAGCCAGCCCCCGGGCAAGGGGGGCACTCCTGCCAGGACACAGCTCACACCCTTTGCCAAGTATGTGAAGGAAAACTACGGACTGGCCAAGAGAGAGCAGCAGGGGCTGAGCCATGCAGAGGTCATGAGGAAACTCGGTGCTGATTTCGCTTTGAAAACCAGGCTTGATGATTTATTTTAACATCTCAATAGATTTCCTTACTTGGTGCCACTTAAATTTTGTATATGGAGTAGTAGATGAGTCTAACATGAGGATTCCAGATAACTGTAATATTTTAGTGCTAAGTACTTCTAATAAAGACCTTAAGGCCTTTTCTAAAATGGGCAAGAGTGAGCAAAAATGATGACAGCTAGTCCAGGGTGATGCACAAGTCAGGGTATCCTTAGACTTCAGAGGAACACCACCTGTGCCTGGGAAGATGCAATTCCAGTCCCCCCCTTTGGGACTGACTCACTATGTTTGGCTGGAATTTTCTGAGCAGCACTTACCCATAGTGCTCCACAGCATGTCTTCAGTGACTCCAGTGAGCAATGGATTTACTCTTCCATCTGGGTACCTGATATGCTGTAGGCTCTGTGCATATGCTGAGAAACTGCTGGGTGTGCATCTGTCTGGGATTGCCAGGTGAAAGAAAGTCCAGGCCCACCAGCCCTCTGATTCTAGCTGAATGATTTCCAGGCAGGAAACGGGGCAGACTGGAGTTGGGCTTCAACATGGGTTCAGATATTCTCCCATGTGGAGTCTCTTGAGTGAGTGACCCTTAGCTGTTTTTGTTAAAATTAAGTGGGTTTTGTTAAATTAATTAAAATTAGTGGTTAAAATTAATGGTGGCTTAAATCTGTTAGAAAAAGTGAGTTTTTACAAGGCCTTCTGGCCCTGAGTGAGACTGAAGCTCTTTGATTGAAAATGTGAATGCAATGTACCTCAGTCATTGAGATTTCAGAGAAACTAAAATAGATGCAAGAGGTCAGGGTAGGGAAAGCAAATTCAAACACTTTCCACCACAGAAGGGGGAGGTCTAGTCAGATGATTTAAGTCTTTCACATAAAATATGACTGAATGTGTGTCTTCTGTAAGCAAATTGCTCAGGGAATGTAATAATATTGAATAATCAATAAATGCTAATGTTGTACCAACGGTGGCAATGGACCCCAGGCTTCGTTTCAAATTAATCATGGCTGTATAGTTAAACAGAACTCTGGTGCCAGCCCAGCTTTACTGGCTGGAGAGCCAGGCTGTGGATCAGCACAGTCCTTCACTTCCTTTTGTCATTGGGATTATGATTCCAAGCATCCCCATTCCAGCTGTGCTGTGGGAGATTGCACTGGAGGCCCTGGGCTGCTCCCAGGAGCTCTTATCAAGCCTAGGGACACTGAGGCCACCACCCTCTCTCCTCAGCAAAGATAAGGGTAAGGAGCACTTGAACTAGAAACCAGTAACAAAAACAACTGCACAAACCCACTGACTGTTCAAAAACTAAGGAAAATAACTATTCACTGCACTTTTAAGGAAAAAACCAGTAGTGAGTGTTATACTTGAAAGTTCTACTCTTTAGAGATTGCCAACAGAAATGCAGAAAGCTTAAAAATCAAAATCAAGTCTGACAAAAGCAATGGGGTTACAGGGCTTCCAGATCTGACACCCTTTACACTGCTCATCAGTGCTGGCCCTCTCTGACAGGGACTGCCTGTCTCCCAGCTCTTACTTTCATTCTCCCACAGCAACAGTCCAGACAATGAGCTGTCAGGAATTGAACAATGATCCCTGCAGGAATGCAGGCAGCTCATTTTCATCTGTCTGAGTGTGTAAGAATTTAGGTTAGAACCAAGGAGCTGAAACAGGAATTTTAACTGTGCTTTTGCCCCTTTGCTCACGTGAGACAAACTTCACAAAACAGGATACTCTGGGGGATACTCTGAAATGCAACAGCAAGAACATTTAAAGGATTAGTTCAACAACAGCTATTTTGTTCCAGTCTTAAGAGATTTTTAACAATTAAGTTCAGCATATAAGAACAACAGGCTTGTGTATCTACCATTTCTCTTCCCAGCATCTTAAACTTCTTCCCTCTGGGGAGGAACCACAGTCCTGTCACTGAAGCAGCAGAAACAGCTGATTTCACAGAGAACCTCAGTGCTGGACTCACAACAGCATCACATGAAGAGAGTGGAGATGGACCAAAAACTGCAGGCACTGGCACTTTGTAGCATTCATTTCATTTCTACTCCAAACAGCTCTAGCTTTGGAATTCTTTATTTGGTTTGACATATGCTGAACAGATCCTGTGTCAAAGTTCTTCCAGGTCTCTTCCTTCCCAAGCTTCCCTCCCACCTCTTACCTGCCTGGGTGGATGGCCAGCAGTCCAGAACATTACTAGATATAAGATCATGGTCAACTGAAGCTACTAAAAGAAGGCAGAAGTTGGCAGCATCAGATATGACTGCAGGGACACACTTTTCCCCTCTAACCCTCCTGCTCCAGGGTCCTGGAATACATGTAAAGCAGTAAGACTTCTGTCAATATAGAGAGAAGGGAGGAACAACATGTTCCCTACGTGTGTGCCCTCCAGAACAGGAGTCTCTTCAGGTGCTGCCCAGCCCCACCACTGCAGCACCTGCAGACACAGCCCTGCTTTGCTCCAGGCTGGGGCAGACAAAGTCCTTATCCTGGAGACGTGCTCTGTGCTGCAGGAGAAGAGGCACAGCCTTCACTGTAAGGCAATGCAGGGCCACCCTTCAGCCTGGAGGAGGTGGTGTAGATTTTTTTACATGTCTCTTTTCTGAAGGGTCTGCATTTCCTCCTCACTCTAAAGCAGCGAGTTCCTCCAGGAGCTGCTCTTTCTCCTGCTGCAGCTCCTGCACCCGCTGTTTGTTCTGCTCCAGTCTGTCCTCCAGCCACTGCAGGAGGGGCCCACTGATGGCAGACATCTGGCTGCAGAGGTTCTTTGTGAACACTGCAAAGAGCAACCACACGTCACGCCAGGGCAGCACACAAGACACTCAGTGTACTACAAACCACCCCAAAGCCAACAGTGTCACAGACAGCCAAGGAAACCTTCCACCATGCTGGCCCTGCCAACCACACATCCCCTCAGGAATGTCAGAACCAGCAGCCTGATAAACAGGGAAATGCTATTTCAGTCTGAGCCAGGGGAGGGATGACAGACCTGCAGCAGAAATCTGGAAACCTGCACACAAGTCATCACTGCTGCTAATTAATCTCTAAATTTAGAGGAATCAAAGAATGCCTCATCTCTTAAACGGGTGAGAATGGATAATGGGATAATTATCTTGGAACAGAAGTGGGATGGAGATTCACCCTGTGACACTGGCAAAAGCAAAGGTGTCACATCCACACAGCTCAGCCACACAACACTAACTCAGCAAATCCCAAATCCCCCTTGCTGTTCCAACAGCAAAAATAACCTAAACAAACCAAACTCAGAAAACTCAAACAATCCCAAAGTCTGTTGTAATTTTAACCAATTCTACAAAGGCTGAAGGACACAACAGCATTCATGGACCCCAGGATTAGGTTATTTTACAGCCTTTAATTTTTTCCTATAAAGTATTTACTTTCAGTTCTGTTCCTTAACTAGATTTTACGTAACAAGATAACTATCTCAGGGAATTCTCTGGGTTATACAGTCTTTGTGATTAAGAGTGTGGCAAGGGGAAAAAAAAGTTAGTATTTGTGCTTTTCTAGCTATTTACAGCAGCCTTTTATGGCAAAGGGAGCAGTGTTACACATGTGTAGTCCAAAGCCCCCCAAATTTAGAGCCAAACCAAGCCCTGTTCAAGACTCCACTGTTCTGACTTTGGGAGCAGCACCCTGGATTGTCACATGCAAAAAAGGAATCCTTACCTGAGCCATTATGGATCTTGGTTACAGAGTCCAGATGGGTGAGGCTACAAGGAACAGAAAGCAGGTCAGGGACAAACCAGGGAACTGCACATTAAATCCAGGCTGCAGAACCACTGCCTGCCAGTCACTGCCCACACCACAGGTGCCTCCAGGTCTCCTCACCTGCTGCACATTCACAAGGACAACTGACCCGTGATCACAAAATCCCACATTCTGCTGGTAACCCCAGCCTCAGTTATTCAACCAGTTCCACAGAGGCACATGAACTGCTAATCCTTCTCACCTTCTACAGCTTTGCAAAGGTTGTGGTGCAGCAACAGTAGAACATGTCAGCAAAGACAGTCCTGGAGAGGTGCAGAGCCCCACTGCTGTTACCTGTGAATTCTCCTGTAGGCATCTTGCTCTTCTTGGCAAAGGATCTTGGGCAGCTCCACAGCCGACTCCAGACACACTTTCCCAATGGTTTCATGGGGGACAACATGAATAGGAATTTCAATCCTTTCATACCTGAAAGAGATTCAGATACAATTAACTTCAAAGCAGCAGAGAAAAAACAGGACTTTTACAACCTACCACAGTCTGTCCAACACATGGCAGTGCTGCACATCCACTTTTGGGAACACATGCCTGAGTTGGCAGCCAAAGGGAAGCATTGTATACACTTGTCTTATTTTAATTATAAGATGCTAAAGCAACTGGGTGGCCAGTACTGACAACATGTTGCACAGTGTGTGTGTGGTTGGGCCTCTAGAGCTGGAAGTAAAAAAGTGGGGCTTCTACACAACAGGTTCCAGCACAAACCCCACCCTGCCAACAGCAACCTACCCCAAATCCTGAGATAATAAATTATCCAGGGTAAGTTAATCTTTACATTCTCTTCCATCAGCCTGCACGAGAAGTCAGGAGACCTCGTGCAGGCATTTCTGAATAGTATTTGCTCCTCGTGACAGGCCCAGAAGCCACTTGTTTGAGACAACCCAGAAAGGAGAGACAAGGTGAAATACAACCTAAAACTGAGAGCCAAAATTAAATACAACCAGACACTGGACAGAAAATTCTTCTGCTGTACTCACTCTGAGCTCTTCTGGGCCTGAATAGACTGGAAACAGGTATAGAGAATCCTGCCTGTCTGAGAGAGACAGCAGAAAGTCAGATTTCAAGTGCAAAAACCCATCTAAACCCACACATTCCTTTAGGAAGCAGAATATGCTTTCAAACAGAATTCCAACAGGATGAAAAGGCACAGACCTTTTGCTGTGACTGGAATGCTGGAGCTGCTCAAAGCAGACACTGACAAACCCTCTAATGATAAAAAAATCTGAAGCAACAGCTGCCCACTGGTCCATCTTAAGTGTACACACAGTGCAGCAGCTGCTGCAGCCCCCCTGGGCAGGCTGTGGGGCAGCACAGAGGATTAAACACTTGTTCATTTGTCACTGTCACAATCCAAACACCACCATTCCAGCTGGGCTTTTCACGTGCCCCCAGCAGAGCTCTTTCCTTGTTGCAGGTGCACTCAGGGACTTCAGCTTTGCCCTGATGTTCCTCACGAGCACTTGGAGGGTTTGATGCCATTTTTAAGTTTCCTACCTTGGTGTTCTTGTCCTCGATGAAGCAGGAGAAGATCAGCCCTACAAAGCCTTGGTCCATCATCTGATACATGGCCTGTGTACGGACATCTGCAGGCACAGGAATGAGAGAATGAGAACTGCACTGGTCACCTGGAGCAGTGGGAAAAGCTTTGCCACCTTTTGAAGGGTGATCGGGAATTTGGTAACAAGTGTCACAAGCTTTAAGTCCTTATTCCGAGTGACTAAATTAAAAAAAAAAATTTGATCCAATTTAAAATGTAATTAAATAGCAAATCTTAAATACACCAGGTGAGTTCACAAAACCAGAAATGATCTCAGGATCAGCCTGGTGCCACAGGTCTCCATAAAGTCCAGCACATACAAGATACTCGTGCACTTCTTTCACAGAACTTTTCAGTGTTGCATTAACACACCCAGACATCAAAAATCACCACAGTAGGCCCAGAATTCCCACAGGTTTTTTTTTTGCTGTTCCCCACACCCTGGCTCTGGTTTTTCTATCTGGAAGAACAGTAGCACCAGCAGTAGCTGATCTGAGTCATGTCTGAGTCCCTGGGGCACACACAGTTATGGGGCTGCACTGGCAGAAGCCCCTGGAGCCCACCCAGACAGTCTGGTCCTACCAGGGGATGTCTGAGACACAGAGTCCTGAACTGCTGGAATGTGCAGCTCTGGAACTCGTGAGTCCCAG